GGAGAGGATGGGAAGGACTCAGGTCCAGCCCCTTCTCGCCAAAGCTCGCCCTTCAGAGTGATGGAGTGATGGGAGGAGGGGGGTTGGTCAGAAGGAGGAGATGACGGGCAAAGGGCTGGGGGGGAGCCGTGCGGGAGAGAGGAAGTACCACCAGGGCTAATGGGAGCTTCCGTCCTGCTCCTCCAGCCTGACACTAATGTATTCAACCTGACATCCCATCTTGTCGTGAATGAAGACTCGGCCGATCAGGCTGCTGATTTGAGGGCTGGCAGCTTCAGCCGGGACAGACCGGGGCCAGTGCTCAGGCCTCGGGCTGAGCCCGTAGGACCAGGCAGCTGTCGTGGGGCTGGCTCCTCTGCCTTCTGCTGAACTAACAGGTGCCCGTCCAGGAGCTGACCTGAGGGAGCCCATTCCTACCAGCCTGACAAGCCAGGCCTCAGTTTCTCCACCTCCCCCGGCCCATCTCCCGTCGGGCCGAGCCCTCCTGCCTGCGAGGCTTCGCCTGGGCTTCCTGCCCTGCTGCCTGGGCAATCTCTCTCTTCCTTTTTGGAAGGCAGGTGGATCTGCTCAGAGCTGCACCAAACGTCAGATAAGAAATAGAGACTCGGAGACGTCCCCTACCAAGCACCCAAATCACACAATCCTGAGATGAGTGCGGGGGATGGCCCCCAAACCAGGTGACACGTGCCCGCTTCCTTGCCCTCTGGGAGGAGCGGCTGCTGCCTCACCCCTGGCCTGCTCTGGCAGGGTCTTTATCTCTCTCTTGCCTTGGCTTCAGCAGATCCCCTATTTTCGTCTGCCCTAGCGCCTGCACCCTTTCCAGGAGCTGGTCCAGCTTCCAGAAGGTCCACAGAGGCCTCCTGTGGACTCAGAGCCCAGTAAAGGTCAGAGATCTCAGACTCCTCCTCCTAGCCACCACCTGCCCCCTGAAGTGGCCACTGTCATCTTCCCCCAAAGCCTCCTGAGCTAGTGAAGGAGGAACGATTTGCTTTGAGAACCATCTGGATGGAACGGGGGACTCTCACCCACAAAATCCAAGCTGGGCCCATCAGCCACTTGTTAGACAGAGAGTCTTAAGGGCAGAAGGCCAAGCCACGAGGACTCACAAAGACCAGAGGCCTGGCAATGACCCCAGCCAGGGAGCTTGCAGAGGGAGATGTGGGGCTGTCGGCGGCACTGGGAGGAGAGGGAGGCCAAGAACCCCATCGGCGGGTCCAGGTTTGTGTCTGCCTCCTCCCAGCCCCACCCCTGCCAGCGGGGGCAGTGGCCACTGTGGCCTGGGCAAGAGAGATGTCAACGGGGCCGATGGGAGAAGGGGCTTGTTGACTGCAAACTGTCCATTATGGCTTAGATTATAAGCATATTGCACAGGGCTCTCTGCACGATGCCGGGGAAATCCAATACGCTGAAAGGTTAATGCAATCAATTAGGGTGACAAGGAAGTAAAGTAAAGCCTTCCGAGTAGATGAAAAGGAGAGAGAGGGAGAGAGAGAGAGCCATGGGATTGTGGGGGTGCTCTGGGTGGTGGGAAGGCAAGGAGGAAGAGGAACTAGAGGGGTGCAGAGAGGAGGCCTGGAGGGGAAAGAGAGGCGGACGAAAGGCCAGGAGCCCTCGAAAAGAGGACAGCAAGAGAGACGGCAGCAGACCCAGCAGGAGAGGACAGCCAGCAGACTCTGCAGACGCAGCTCCGTCTCAGGCCTCTGGCTGCCGGCACAGCTCCCGTCTCCTTGCCCACTCCCTGCCAGCCTTTCCTCTCAGGCTTGAAGCCTGATTCCAACCTTAGCCCACAGCAGTAGAACGGGGCCAGGGCGGCCTTGGTCCCTGATCCTGGACAGAGCCAGAGCCACTGTGTAACCCCCAGGGCCTTCTCAGCCAGACTGCAGCCTGGTTCCCACCCGCCACGGACAGGCCCAGCCTCAGACCTGGACTCCTCCCTCGGCCTGCTTGCCCCTCAGCAGCTCCCAACACAGCCGGCACAGCTTCTCCCAGGCATCCCAGCTCCTCCTTGCCACAAGCCTGGGAAGCAGAGAGCACGTGGGCAGGGCTCTGGAGTTTATAGATTGAGAAACTGGCACTCAGAGGTTATGCTACTCCCAGGGCCCTGCCACAGAAACGGAAGACCCAGGCCTGCCGGTCGACTACCCATGGGGCTTTTTCCCCCCAAGGTGCTCCCTGGAATCAGGAGCCAGCCCTTCTCCATGGGGTCAGACTCTGAGGCCCCCAGGGCAGAGGGTAGGGAGCTCCGTGGAATCTGCCCAGAGATGTCTGTTGCCTCTGGCAGGTGGGAACTCAAGCACATACTACCTGGTGGGTACCGGGTGAGCCACTTTCAGCCACAACAACTCACTCACTTGTCCCAACAACCCTGCAAAGTCGATATTCTTCTCCCATTACAAAAGAGGAAGCTGTGAGGGCCAGGCATGGTGGCTCATGCCTGTAATCCCAGCACTTTGGGAGACTGAGGCAGGCAGATCACAAGGTCAGGAGTTCAAGATCAGCTTGGTCAATATGGTGAAACCCCATCTCTACTAAAAATATAAAAAATTAGCCGGGTGTGGTGGTGTGCACCTGTAGCCCCAGCTACTCTGGAGGCTGAGGCAGGAGACTTGCTTGAACCTGGAAGGCAGAGGTTGCAGTGAGACGAGACAGTGCCATTGTACTCCAGCCTGGGCAACAGAGTGAGATTCGAATGTCTCAAAAGAAAAAAAAAAAAAAAAAAAAAAGCGGAAGCTGTGGATCTGAGGTGAGAGAACCTGCTAAAGGCTACAGGGCTGCCGGGATGCCAGTGGGGGTGCCGGGATGCCAGTGGGGGTGCCGGGATGCCAGTGGGGGCAAGAGCGCCGAGGAAGCAGGGGCTGCAGAGGGGAGGAAGAGCTGGGACTTTGAGGCAGGTGGGACTGAGCAGAAGGAGGCCCTAGCAGAGCAGGGGGAGGGAGCCCCCCAGACAGACCAGGACTGTAGGCAGCCCTGCAACCCCAGGGCAGGGCTGCCAGACAGATGTGCTGGGCCCCTCACAGCAGTCCCGATGAAGACACGTGCACAGCGCAGGATGATGCGGTGTGATGGCATCGGGGCCGCACTTAGGGCCAGGGAACTGCACACCAGCATGGCCACAATGGTAAATTTCCTATTATGTACATCTCACCACTAAAAAGAGAGAGCAAAGTGCAGGAACTAGAGCCTCTCGAGCAGGGGCTGGCAAACTTTTACCATAAAGGGCCAGAGAGAAAATTATTCCTCTTTTAGATTTTGTGGGCCAAACAGAGATTTCTGCTGTAGCACTCAACTCTGTCTGCAAGTGTAGAGTGAAAGCAGCCATAGATAATACCTGAACAAATAGGCGTGGCTGTGTTCCAATAAAACTTTATTTATAAAAGCAGGCTGTGGGTCAAAGGTGGCCCATCTGCCAAGCGCTGCTCCAGAGAATGGAAGCACTTGGGGCTGCCTTTCAGGACACGGAATGCCTGACTTCACCCTGCTGCCTGGGGGCGGAGGTATCTATCCTGTCTGGATCTCATGGGCAGAGGTCTCTAGAGGAAGCAAGGTTCTCATGGTCAGAGGGTAGAGAAAAGGGACAGAGAACACGGCGCACGTGGGAAGCCAATATCCAGGAACCGGTCCCAGCTCCGTGCATCCTGAGGAGCCTTCCACGGCGCTCAGATCCTCGTGGACCATGTGCAGGCGTGGAGGCTTGTAGCTCTGAAGATTCTAGAACTCTCAATTCCATGAGACAGGGGTGAGGCCATGGCTAACAGGAGGGCGGGAGTGGCCAGAAGGGAGCCAGAAGGGGCACCAGGGAGAGAAAGGCGAGAGGACCCAGGACAGAGCTGTAACCAGGGTGGTGCTGGCGGCAAAGGGAGGAATCCACAGGCCCCAGCGAGAGCGCAGGGCGCGGGCCGGGCCTGCCCTACACCGGGCCGCCTCTGATCACGTTTTCAGGGCCACTGCCCGCCAGCACAGACAATGCTGGGGGAGCCTTTGAAGTCCGAAAGGGAAGCCGCGGTGGGAGCTGGCGAATCTCCTCCCTTCCCCGTCCTCCTGGGGGGGAAGGGGCCGGTAGGACAAAACCCAGAGCCCGTCGGTCGCAGCCGGGGCCGAAACTCGAGAGACAAAGGGAAAACAAACAGGTTTGGAGCCAGGCGCACGGTGCCGTGTCTGTCCCCCGCCCCGCCGAGCAGGGATGATGGATGGCTGCAGCCTGCCAGCTCGCCCGCCGGGCAGGCCCCGCTATTTACATAACACTGGCGTTCCACCGGTCACCTCTGACACGGCACTGCCTGGGGCCCGAGGCCCGGTGGCCCCAGGTTTCTCGCGCCACCACTCGGGGGACTGACAGCCCGTGAGGGCTGGGCCGGGCTGGGGCAGTCCCCTGGACTCCGGAGGAGCCCTGGGCCTGGGGAAGGGCAGGGCATGGCAGCCTGTCCTGGCCTCAGCCGTGGCCTTCTCCCTGCCAGCCTCTTAGGGAAAATGGAGGAAGCCGCTGGGAGAGGCACAGCCTCCAAGGAAAGAAGGCAGGACCAGGGTTCTGGGGCCTTCAAGTCCATGCGATTCTTGAAGCAGAGCCTGGGCAGTGCTTCCAGACACAGCCAGCCACCGCCACGGAGGCGATGGCACTGTAAGAGTGGGCACTGCAGGCTGGGACCCTGAGCCCAGCCACCCCAGGTCCCTTGCCATCCCATGCTGGTCCGCCAACGTGGAGGCCTTTAACCAACACACGGCGCAGCCCTGCAGGCCCTGAGCACATTCCTTGCCCAAAATCTGCAATCCACATGTTCCCAGACCATTTCCAGCCTACAAGCCAAACCGAGGAGCTCCTCCTGGCGGGAGGGCATCTTTTCCCACCAGGGCGGAACAGGCAGGGTGGCTGCTGTTCCCCAGCTCCACTTCTCCTCTTCCCCGGGTGCTCTGCAGGACTGACCCACCCAGGGTGACATGTGCATTGGGTGAGTGGTCAGCAGTGGGGAGGGGATGTAGGGCTCAGGGAGGGGCTCAGGCCTTACCTCGAAGAGGGTCCTAGAGCCTCCTGGGATGTCCCTGGGGGTGTCACTTCATCCTGGGGAGGCAGAGAGAGGAGCCCAGTTAGCCTTTCCAAGCCCACGACTCCCCAGCGCACACCCTCCATCCCTCCTGTGCACCCAAGGGCTCCCTGTCCCACATAGCTGAGGGGCTGACACTCCAGGGCCAGCCAAGAGGGCCAGAAACTCAGGCATGCCAGCTGGGCTCTGATTTGGCTCATTCAGGTACACGGCAGCCACAGTTTGAGAAAGAGTCAGAACCGGGTAGGAGCTGACTGCAGGGGAAATGTGGTCCTCAGGACCCCCCTAGCCAGGCGGAGAAGTGAGGCTGGAGCAGGGGCGCTGGAGAAGGAGGCCGGGGTGGGGGTGCTGGTGGAGGAGCCGGGGGGGTGCTTGTGGAGGAGGCTGGAGTGGGGGTGCTGGTGGAGGAGGTGGGGGGGTGCTGGTGGAGGAAGCTGGAGTGGGGGTGCTGGTGGAGAAGGTGGGCGGGTGCTGGTGGAGGAAGCTGGAGTGGGGGTGCTGGTGGAGAAGGTTGGGGGGTGCTGGTGGAGGAAGCTGGAGTGGGGGTGCTGGTGGAGGAGGTGGGGGGCTGCTGGTGGAGGAGGTGGGGGGGTGCTGGTGGAGGAAGCTGGAGTAGGGGTGCTGGTGGAGGAGGTGGTGGGGTGCTGGTGGAGGAAGCTGGAGTGGGGGTGCTGGTGAAGGAAACTGGAGTGGGGGTGCTGGTGGAGGAGGCAGGGGTGGGGGTGCTGGTGACATGGCCTCGTGGAGCTGCAGCGGCCTAGCAGGGATGCCTGGGGACAGTGACAGAATACAGCAGCAACTGCTCCTTTACTCTCTTCCCTGGGGCCCCTGAACATAAAAATGACAGATGCCAAACTGTTCTCTCTAGCAAGTTGGTGACAGAGGGGCAAGGGCGGGCCCGGGGCCAAGGCACCAGGAAGTCTCCCCGCCCCGGGAGCAGGCTGCTGACAGCATCTTCCACCCTGGGGTCCTACCCATGAGTCACCACAACCCACGTCCAGAGACTGCCCAGGGAGAGAGACGATGGTCCCACAACTCGGACCATCCGACACATGGCCCAGCCCAGGGTGCTGGGAGGGGCCCTCCTGCCCAGGGAGTGAGTTTGGGGAGCCAGTTTCAAAGGGGCAGCCTCTGTGTACGTGGAGAGAAAACACAGGGAGCCTCCCTGCCTGCTGGCCAGGCCCCTGACCCTTGCTCAAGCCAGGCCCTGCCCCTGCAGGCCTCGGAACCCTCCCCAGGCTGGGGGAAGGCTGGTGGCTGTTACGTTTTTTCTCCCCTCTCCCTCATGTGTGGCTTATCAATGATGCAAGAGGAATAACACCAATTTCCTTAGGCTATGTAATCCCCAAATCAGATTGGGGGGATTGCGGGAGATGAGGTGACCTTGTTGAGGGCTCCCGGAATGCCACCCAGTCCCACCGCCCGCTCTCCAGTTCCCAGGACATATTTAGACAGATAATGCTAATTGTACTTGACATGTTCTCTTAAGGAGGCCTCGGCTCTCCACCAGCTTTCGCCACTTGTGCTGGGCTGCATGGGCACAGGGTGCCCACCAGGACAGAGCCCACCCTGCCAGATGCAGGGCTCTGGGAGGGCTGCGGGCCAGTGGGCATCCAGTGGTTGGGAAGTGCTGCCCCACGGGCCTCTGATGCCCACCTCATCCAGACGATGAGAGGCTGGGGGTCTGCAGGGCATTGGGTGGACCCCTGAGATGAGGCGATAGAGACAGCGAAGAGCCGTGCAAAGGGGGAATAAGGAAAAGGGAAGGAGCTGGCCAGGAGAGGAGAGGACGGAGGAGGACACCGGCAGGGAGGGTCGCAGGGGGTCGGGATGGAGAACCCCAGGCCTCCACTGCCAGGTGCTAGGTGGGGTCGGCCATCCGAGCTCGGTCCTGGCTGGTCAGCCTAGGGCCCTGGCTGGGATGTCATCCTCCCCGTCCCGTCCGTCCCACACACTCCTGTCTGAGATCTCTCAACGCGTCCCGGCCAGCCTCCTGTAGACCCCCAAAGCCCCCCAACTCCACAACTCCGGTATCTCCCTTCCACCACCTTTCTCTCCCCTCCCATCCTCCCTGGCAACTGTGCATTTATTAATTCATGAGGCACTAATTAGTTCTTTGTTTAATTTTGTGTTAAACAGACTGACCGGAATGATAACGACTTGCAGTGCGGTGTTGCCGTCCCCAACCACCCCTGTTTTCTGACAACAAGGGAGCGCGGGAGACCGGAGCGCTGAACCCAAATCCCTCAGCAGTTGCACTTCATTAAGTCAAAATGTGACAAGAAGCTTAGAGAGCAACTTGCAGATCTGATCACACAGAACAATCAGGGAGGAAACTTTCCAGGAGTTGGTCGGGGGTGGAGGAGGGAGGGGAGGGCCGAGATGTGTACGAACAGGGACCAGGACGCACACGGGGTCCTGGACCCCACCCACCCCATCCACGCGTCCCAGGAGCGGGGAGGCTGTCCCTGGGAGGGACCTGGGACACTGGCATTCTGGGACCCCAGTGGGCGCCTAAGAAGTAGCCGAGAGTTCATCTTGGTCTCTCTTTCCTTCTCCGGCCATCTTTTCTTGTCTCTCTGCCTGTCACTGTCCCCGAAGTCTGCTTTGTGAGTGAGTGGCCCATGTGAGTGAGTGGTCAGCACATCTGGGAAAGGACTCTCCAAGGCCAGGGGAGAGGCACAGCACTGGGGAAACCCAGAGGACAGCAGAGGCCCTACACTCAGTGGGGCTGGAGTGAAGGGAAATGCTTCCAGGTTAAGAAAAAAAAAAAAGCTGTGTGCTCAGGAATCATGGCAGAAAGTGTCTAAGTCATGCCAACACGCCCACTGCCTGCCAGCTGTCCATCCATCTGTCCATCCGTCTATCCGCCCGTCCGTCCATCCAATGTTCCTAATCCTAAGTACTCCGCCCAGAACACTGAGGACCCAAAGGTTCTGCGTTCTGTCCAGAGGTAGCTGGCAAATCACAAACAGAACTGGGTCCCGGCGCTTCCAGGCTGTGTGGCTGACAGCTGGCTGGCAGCTGAGTGACAACAGCCTTCTGACCTCCTTCCTTCTGTCCATGTGAAAAAGCAGATCTTGGCCCCAGAGGCATCAGGCCGCTCACCCCACCAGCCCATTGCACAAGTGAGGATGAGTGATACCAAACGCAAACCCTGCCCCAAACTAAGGGCAGTGGCCCTGCCCACCTTTTACCCACCCCTAATCTCTGAAGACACCAGCCATGTCTTGGGTAAGGAGAAGAGCACAGAAGGGGTGTGAGGAGGAGAAAAACACAAGCACAGAGCAAGCTGGCAAACTCCCTGCCGCCTTCCTCCTATTGGCTGCTGCACCTGCCCAGGTGAGACCTCCGAGTGAGTGAGCCTGGGGGCAGGCAGCCTCCTGCAACCCTTTCCCTGGCCGGTTCTGAAGCAAGTGGTCTCTCCCTGAGCCGGCAGCCCTGGGCTGGCTTCTGTTAATTTGCTGTCAGGCTGCCTAAGCAAACCAATTAAAACTAATCATTAATTATAAAAGAGAGCGAGAAGAGGAGAGGAGAGGGTGAAAGACCGAGAGGGGAAGGAGGAAGAGGGAAGGTGGGCTGGAGAGGGAAGACCCGGGGGCCTGCAGGGAGCTCGGAGTGAGGCCAACCTGGGCTGGGCACTGGGGTGCCAGGGTCTGGGGAGGGCAGGAAGGAAGCAAGGGATGGAGGAGAGGGGGTTGCCATGGGCAAGGGGCGGAGGGAATGCCAGGAGAGACGGGATGCTGGAGAGTGAAGGGCGAAGAAGCGGCAGGGGCCAGCATACCAGGACCTGAAGGGGCATCATCCATCTGCAGTTCCCTCTGGCTGGAGCCGCCACCGGCCCAGACATGGCTTTGGAGCCCCTCACCCACAGCTGCCCAGCTCCATATTTATGAGGCATAGGCCAGGCTCCTCGGTCGGCCGCCACTCCTACCTGCTCCCCAGGCCTCCCGGGCCATGGGGGCTTGGGGCAGCTGTCGGGCTGCCCATCCATCCCCCCCACACCATGGCCGCCTCCTTTCCCCTGCCCCCGGCCCCATCCTCATGCACAGCCTCTCCCTGGCCGAGCCCTTTCACAGGGGCTGGGGCCCTGTCAGCCTGGCGGCGTGGGGCGGGGAGTGCAGACAACAGGGGCAGCGTCATGGAAACGGGCACTTTCCCCGAGAAATATTCTGTTTGGCCTCCTTCCTGCATTGAGGAGCTGTCGGGAGCCTGAGTGAGAGTCACACCACCCCGGGACCAGGCGTGACAAAACCTATTTTCTGCCTCAAATTTGATTGATTAAAAAACTTTTTAGGAAAACCATGTTAAAAGAGTGAAAAAGAAAGAGGGGGAGCGAGAGAGCGAGGGAGAGAGAGAGAAAGAGAGGAGAAAAGAAAGAGCCAATAGAAGGTGCTGTGGGAGGATGGCTGGGGAGAGGAAGGCCCCGCGCAGGGGCCGCGCAGTCCCCGGGGTGAGGCCGCCTGCCAAGAGGTGCGCACCGGGGGACCCCCAACATAACCAGGCAAAACGGAAAGGTCAGAGGAAGCCCGGAACTTTTACACAGTGGTTAGCAGGACAATGAGGGGCCGAGGGCCGCACAGGCCAGCAGGTGCCGGATGGAGACAGAGGCCTCGGGAAAGAAGCCGGGCCGGAGGCAGGGAGGGCCGGTGGGGGTGGCTGTCCAGCCCCCGGAGTCGGAGCGGCCTCTGGATTGGCTCTGGGCTCTTTCCAAGCACAGTCTTGATTGGAATTGGGCCAGAATCCTGAGAAATCTACATAGGGTCAAGAGGAAGGGCCCTTGTCCTTTGGGGGCAGGAAACGGCTTTTCCCACCTTGTTCTCCCAAACCCTGTCTTAAGAACTGTTTTCAATCAGTAATTTTTAAAAAGCAGGAGACATCAACTTGACCGCCACCCTGAGGCTGGCTCAGCGCCAGCTTCCAGCCTACCCTCACCTGCCCAGGACCCTCTGTGGTCAGGCCCTGGAGTCCTTCAAGGGATGCTGCCCTGTGTGGTGGCCATGCCTGGCCAGGGACT